CACACCCCTTCCCACCCCCATCTGGTGTGCAGCGAGGCGAAGGCCAATCAATAATGCATGGCTACATGAATAACCAGCATGATAACCACTTATTTGGGAAGATGTAATCAGGACCCATTCTGAGGGTGGATGTTTGTGTGTGTGGATGTGTGTTCGCCTGAGAACTCCCACAACACCGCCCCACTCCCTTCTCCCCAAGACTTGCGCTCTGGCTAATCCAGTATCCCCCAAACACAATGCCAGAGAAGCAAGAAGGACAGGCTCAGGCCTCGCACAAGGGTTTGGTTTTTTGTTGTTGTTTGTTTGTTTGTACCGGGTATCGAACTCAAGACCTTGCTTGGGAGGCAGGTGCGGTGCCACTAAGCTAAATCCCCAGCCCACACGAGTGGGTTTTTGAGGAGATCCTCCCTCCCAGTCTCGATGCCTCGACCCGAGTTCTATGTACTTGATCCTAAAGTCCAGAAATGCTCGTTCTCAAATGTGGTCACACTTGGGAATCCTGAGGGGAGGTTTTGAAAGTCCTGAGACCTGTCTGGGGCTCACCCCCAGCCAGAGATTGGGGCTGAGTGGGCCAGAGTGCACCCTGGCCGCAGATTTCGGGACGCTCCCCAGAAGAGTATAACATGCAGCTGAGGTCACCAGGCCCTGTCTCAGACCCAGCAGAGGTCAGTGTGGAGGGAGGGAAACGTCACATCCTCTGTCAGGCCTGAGAAAGCTCCCACAGAGGAAAGGGTCTGGATTCTCATCGTCTGACTTCACTGACTTCCACGGTCCTGCGCCTCTTGGTTCAGCCTGGGGGATGCTGAGAATGGACCAGGTGTGCCCGTTTCTCCTAAGGCTTTGGTGTCCTGGGCCTGAGCTCCTCCCTCGTGGGCACCTCCTAGAGGATCAGAAGGACAGGGCAATGGCCCAGCCTTCTGGCTGGTGAGGATAGCTGCTTCTCCAAGCCCCAGGCCTCTCTCTGCCCAGCCACGGCAGGGAGGTGAAATCACTCTCATCAGCCTCTAGCCACACCCACAGCCACTGAGGAAGAGCTCTAATTAGCCCCCACCCCTGCTGTTGGACCAGCTTGTGCCCAGGAGGCCACAGCACTAATGAGAGCCTTGGGGTGGGAACCGTCCAGTCCTCTTATCTCCAGCCCATGGCCACCTGCTTCCTTCAGGCCTGGAAGCTCCAAGGCCTCTTGGGAGGCCTGGCTTGAGAACCCAAGACCTGCAGGGTTGGCCAAGGCTGACTTCCTCCCTGGACCAGGATCAATGCGGAGCCCAGGCAGCAATCCCTGCGGGATTGGTTCTCCTCAGGAAATGGTACTGCTGGTTGTTTATGCCAGGCCAGGCCTCTTCCAGGGCTAGAGAGAGCAGTCAGGGTGACTGGTCTGGAGGTTTATTGCCCTGGATACCGGCCTGGACCCTTCCTTCCCTCCTGAGCTTTAGGAGAAGCCTGAGTGAATGGAGAACTGGTGACTGTCAAGGAGAAGGAGGATAGAAAGGCAAGAAAACAGGCTGGGCCCACCAGCTGCAGTGTGCAGCTCCAACCCCTCCCCCATAGGCCACAGCCGGACACTTGCTGAGTCTGGGTGGAAGGATGGGCTTTCTCGGCAGGGGCAACCATGTGAGATGACCCTGCATGCTGGCCTCGAAGCCCATAATCCACTTGCCCTTCGCTTGCTGTGCACACTCTCAGCCCACACTTCTGGTGTGTCAGGGCAGGCCCTCCCAACCCTGCTCAGGCAAAGGGAGACAGGGGCCTCGGACGGACAGTCTCCAGCAAGCCCTCCCCTCCTGATACTTGTCCTGGTCCTCAGTGTGTTCATGAGCGTAAGCACTGCAAGAGGCTGTGGTCCTCAGCCAAGTCACTGGACCTCTCTAGGCCTCTGCACTACATGGTGCTCAATCGTCCACCATGGTAAGCACTCATCCTATAGCGAGCTCATGGCCGTCCGGAGATCTGAGTGTCGTCCATTGGGACCAGCAATGCTTGTGGAGCTGCTGCCAGGCACAGGACTCTGGGCTGGACCTGCAGGGGTCTCGTCCCACAGGGTGCTCCCATGCCTTCCCCCAGACAGAAAGCAGGGAGCCAGGTTGACCAATGCCTGTGCCAGTCCAAGCCACTGATTTTTATGGGTAATCAATTGGGGTAAAGGCAAGCTACCCTCAAGGGCAGGACTATATGGGAAGATGCAAAGTGGTGAGGTTTCTATGGAAATTAATGTAAGCAAGACTGGTAAAGGGTGAGACAAAGCATTCCTGAAGTAGGAACAGAACAGACAAATGTATGGTTGCAATTAGAACATTGTCCTTCTAATAAGAAGGTTTTAGTCATGGGAATGGAATTTGGGTGCCAGTTACGCTGACCTTGGCACACAGGCTTCCAAGGGGCTCACTTCTATAGACAAGCCAATCGTGGGGTTGCCTCTCCACGCCTGCACTGTTTACCTCCTCTTTGGGCATGATCAATAATGCAGTCTCCCAAAGCCAGATATCTTGCTCTGGCTCTGCTGCATATTGATCTCGAGCAAGTCACTTCATCCTGCTGAGCCTCAGTTTCCAGATCTGACTACTTGGGATATAACAGTGTTTGCTTTGCAAGAGTGTCTGGACGTTTTATTAAAGTGATGGTTAGTATTTGTCAACCTCTCCATTAGGCCCACCCAGCCCATGGCCCTAGGGAAAGGCCACCCTGCCTGACCCCTCTGCTCTTCCCCTGCAGTGCCACCCGATGACCCTGTCATCCTGGGGGGACCTGTGATCAGCCTGCGGGCCGGGGACCCCCTCAACCTCACCTGCCATGCGGATAACGCCAAGCCTGCGGCCTCCATCATCTGGCTGCGGAAGGGAGAGGTCATCAACGGGGCCACCTACTCCAAGGTGAGCCTGGCAGGGTGGGCAGGGAGGGGCGGTCGCCAGGTCTGTCCGCAGCTCTTCTCTGTCTCTGCCTTCTCATTTTTCATCTGGTTGACTGTGTCTTTTTACACCTTTCATCTATGGCACTTTGTCTCGCATGCCATGTTTTTCCCACTAGAGTCTCCCTCTCTGTCCCAAGCTGACTGCTGGACAGGGTGAAAACCCCAGAATAGGACATGGTCACAAGAGAAGACTCAGGGGCACATAAAATGCAGGAGGATAAACCAGGTGTGGTGGTACACACCTGTAATCCCAGTATTTGAAATTCTGAGGCAGGAAGATAGTCATAAATTCAAGGCCATTCCGGGCTACATAGAGAGACTGTGTCTCAAAAAAGAATGAATAAAACAGGATGCCACTATGATCTGAATTGATTATGTCCTCCCAAAACTCACAAGATGAAATCCTAACCCCTACGGGGATGGTTTTAGGAGATGGGGTCTTAGATCCGTGATTGGATCGTGAGGGTGGGGCTGCTGTGAATGGGATTAGTGTCCTGATGAAAGAGGCCCAATGAAGACCCCTTCCCTGTTCCACCATGTGAAGAAGACTCAGTGAGAACACATTTGTCTACAAACCAGGTTTCTAGCTCCTTCCTATAGTGATACCTTGATCTTGGATTTCCTGGCTTCAAGAACTGGGAGAAATACATTTCTGTGGATTATATGCCACCCAGTTTATGGTCTCTTGATATAGCAACCTGAATAAACAAGACAGATACCTAATTAAATTTGAATCTCAAAAAAAGTAAGTAAATTTTTAGTGTAAGTATGTTCCAAATATTCCATGGAATATATTAATGGACCACATGTACCCTAAAAAATTATGCCTTGTTTGTCTGAAACTCAGATTTCACTGGGCATCTTGTATTCTTAGTTGCTAAACCTGGCCTCCTCCCCAGGGCTGCCAAGTGAGACTTGTTAGGTTCTGCTGCATCCTGCATCCTGACTCAGGGCCCAGGCAGTTAGAAATCCATCCCACATCTCTCACCATGCGGTGTGCTCCTGTGTTCTTCCTTAATTCACATAGGCACCATGGCGGTAAGTGCTTGAACAGGCCTCTGACTTAATTTTTTTTTCCCTGTTGTGGGGGTAGAACCCAGGTGCACTCTACCTCTGAGCTACATTCCCAGTCCTTTTTATTTTTTATTTTAAAACAGGTCTCTCTAAGTTACCTACTCCGGCCTGGAATTTGCAATCCTCCTGCCTCAGCCTCCCAAGTAGCTGAAATTACAGGAGGGTAATACTATACCCAGCAATATTGTCATTGAGTTTGTGCATGTGTATGTCAGACAGAGTGTGTGTGTGTTTTATAATATTTTGACAGCTCGGGATTTGGCAGACCCAGGAGTGGGATGAGCATACTCCGGCCTGGAATTTGCAATCCTCCTGCCTCAGCCTCCCAATTAGCTGGAATTACAGGAGGGTAATACTATACCCAGCAATATTGTCATTGAGTTTGTGCATGTGTATGTCAGAGAGAGTGTGTGTGTGTTTTATAATATTTTGACAGCTCGGGATTTGGCAGACCCAGGAGTGGGATGCCTCTCCCAGAGCTCACGAAGTCCTACAGGAAGCAAATAACTTCCTATTGAGGCCATCCTCAAGTGAAATAAATAAGAGACACATGTGTAAATACCAAATAGTTTCTCTGCTGTGAAAAAACTAAAAGTATAAATGGTATAACTGTATACAAATTGTATAAGTGATAATGTGAAATAGGAAGTAAAGGACTAAAGGTGTAGGGGAAATGGGAAGGGTAGGAGAAAGGAAAGAAGGGACAAGAAAAAATATGAGAAAAGGAAAAAATGGGAACAATAGGGGAGGGTG